ACCCGTCGGAGCTCAAACATTTTTCATCTCTCGCCGCAAAATATCTTCCTCGTTCATTTCCTCATTGCTATCGATGTTACTCCGGTAGGAACATGTCGGAATCGTACTTGAGTTGGTAAGAGTGTGCACCAGCATCTGTTGATTCATTTTTTTGGGTCAACATATAATAATATTTATCCATTTACCTTTTTTCAGAATTTTCAAATTAGATGTTTTTCTAAACGTATATATCATTACCCACATTTATAAAACAAGGCTTCTCTACATACGTGAGACTATGACTAGGGATTCGGATTTACTAGGCTCCTATTAAACACTCAAATATACCTGATTCAATTTTTATTTTTATTTATTTAAAGAATTTACTGGAAATCTAGCCCCCCCTTTGGCCCACGTCATCCAAAAAATTTATTGTTTGTTCTCCTATTTCAACCACACAATTTTTCATAAATTAATATTACACGTAAAACGAAAATATTTCCTTCATTTTCAACCACACATTTTTCAAAAAAATACTATTCCAAAAATTAAAATTACAAATAGCGGGATCCAAAAGGGGGCTTAAATTCACTGAAAACTCATCATTTTTCCCAAACAATTTGGGTGTTATTGCAGTTACAAAATAGAGTTTATAATCCCCAAAATTCTCCGAAATTCTAATTCAAAATTGAGAAGTAATCCACATCTGATAAGTATAATAATTGCGGAAATTATACTCACTTTATATTGTATTTGACTTTTGTAGGTTAAATCCACAAATGTTTGGAATTTATTAACTCATGCACCACCACCATCATCATAGCCGCCGCCGCCTTCCTAAATTATTGTGCATGCACCACTTGCCAGTTGCCACCACCACATTATATCAGAATAATCAATAATTATCATAAATCGACGAGTAAAATGAAAATTCCTTCATTTTGAAAATTAAAGATCTATAGTTGAACCAACCACCACCTCCCCATCACCATCATCACCACCACCATCGCCGCCATCACCTGTTTCCATCACATCTGTCGCCAATACCACAAAACCAGATTTGCACTACCATTGCAACTAGATGGATAATTTTTCGGGCTTGAGGCGGAAATCTGTACCCCCATTCATTCATGAACATCTTGATTTTGATCTTCCAGTCAAACTATCTGATCTGAACCGATTTTATAATTAACTATGCATTTAATAATCGAAATTGAAATTGAACCCTGAAAGCCCACAATCATTATGTTTAAACTAAATACATAATACAATAACTTTACAAACTGACTACAATATGAATTCTAGTTCTATCAAACTGTTACATACTTAGACATGAAATCCAACTTTTCACAAGATACTAACGGAATCCTATTGTATTAGACAACATTATGAAGTAAATAAAAAATTAAAACCTCGCTCAATTGTATCAAATATTACATTTCAAACATACTTTAACACATTCGACTGATGAGTAC